TTTTTCACCCTATAAAATTTTCTCTTACCAATTTTAGCGGGCAAATTTGCCCGCCAAAATGGACGGTTTAAGGGATACAAAAACAATTAAAGAAACCTGGAATGGCATTAAAATTCAGGTTAATAATATATACTAAAAATTTTCAATTTAAAATTTTTTAAACCAACTAATTGTTGAGCAAAAATACTGTTTCTAATAGATTGTCAGTACTGTTTCTGATAGGGTAGGATAAAAAGTCAATTTACATACCATTTCTGATAGAGTTCTAAAAAAGGGCCTTCAAAATACTATACTATATAATGAAAAAATGTTAGAATTAAGGTTCATTTTTAGAATCATATCAGGAACAGTATTTAAATAACTTTTTTTTAACTCCATTAAGATCGGTATTACTGATCTATTACTCAGAAATAGTATTTTTGCAATTGCTGAACATCTATTTAATTTTTTTAATAATAAATTAAAGAAATGCCTGTTTTCATTATAAAAACTTACTATAGCACTCTATAAAGTATCCCTTCAAAAAGTATCTCATAGAATAGTATCTGGATATTAATTGGTTGCATGCTTCTGAAAATCATTATATATCTGAGCATTATATCATATACTGTATTGAAATAATATTATACCTCACATATAATATCTATATACCACCATATACAATATCCTATAAATAATATCCTCTACTATACACAATATCTGGAGCACTATTTTTGGTTAGTACAAGTTTTCCGAGTACTTTATAGAGCATTATACAGTACTATTTTTACCACAGGTCATTATTTGTAAATTTTCATGATGGAAATAAAATGTTCTCTAAATTAAAATTTAAAATATATATTAATTAATTGCAATTATCTATAGACGCAAAATAATGCCCAAGAGTATAATTTTAGATTATGGTCTGCATTAAATTTAACTTAGACCATAATGCAAAATAATACTCTTGAATGTTATTTTGCTTTTATTAAGAGAAGGTTAAAATCATCTTTTTTTTTTTTAATTCAGATTCCATCAAGAAATCATACAAGGTCTAAAGTTTCAGATCATTTGTTTGAGTTCATATGGTGTCAGCAGAACAAAGAGAATCTTTGGGAGAAGATGTAGGAGTGTATGAAGAATACAGGATATTTTGAGGTAGTAAACGAAACAGATGAAGAAAATGAGGATGAAGAAGATAATGAAGAGGATGAAGAAAATGAAGGGGAGAATGATAACAATGACAAACATGATAATAAGAATGAAGAAAATGAGAGCGTAGGAGATAGAGAAGGAGATGAAAATGACAATGGTGATAATGAGAGTAATGAAGAAGAAGAAAATGAAAAGAGTGAAGATAGAGAAGATAGTGATAATCAAAATGACGATAGTAATGGTGAGAATAATGAGGACGAAAATGAAGATGAAGATAGGGATGGTGATGAAAGTGGCAATAATATGTTATTATAAATATCGTTTTTAAAAATGATTAAAAAAGAAGAAATTTGATAATCATTTACTTACATCAACATTAGTGGCTATCTGAAGTTATCTTTTCATATTAAAATCATCAATCTGCTATTTGTTAAATATTATAGTTCGATTTATCGAATCTCTTTTTCATTAGATATATGTAATGTTGTGGTATGCTTTCGATAATTGTTGGCCATAAATCATTGCGGTTCAGCTCTCTTCACCGACGCTCCTTTCGTAGACACAACACTTCACCGAAATCGTCTCACCGACATGTTTAATT